CCCTACAGTATATCTCCTAGGCTCAGGTTGGCTCCACTGCACAGCTGCTGCTGTTCTAGGCAGTCATCCCGTGGCACTGGCATCTCCAAAATGCTAGGGCGTCATTGGGATCCACCTTTACCACTAACCCCTCCTGGGTACTCTTCAAGAATTCTGACCCTGCACATTGATGCCAAGTCTCAACTTCTCTCATGATTCTTCAGTCTTCACTGCCACTCAGGCTGCTCCTTCACCAGTGGTCCTTCCTATCCTCTCTTAGCGCCAAGCTTCAGCTTCTCGCCATGACCTCTTCAAAACCAATACCACCTGGAAGAGTCTTAAACATTACCAAGGTTGTCTGCAGCGTGAAGTGTCCCCATTGGCCCTTTCTGGACTCCAGCTTCTGTGGAAATACTCTTGGAAGATTTGACTTCACTGGTGCTGGTCTCTTTAATCACAGCCCCAGTTAGTCAGTAGCAATGTGCCAGCAAAGCAAAGGTTTCACTTTAGTGGTTAATTTGAGTGTCACTTGAATGGTCCTAATAGAGCCTTTGCTTTCCTCTGAAGTTTCACAAGTCGGGCCTTTATCACCTGTACTGCTCACAAGTTCCCATAGAAGCCCACTGAGCTCAGAGCACACAGTGGCTTTTCCAGCGCAGACTTTGGGTGCTACCACAATCCTAAATAAAACATGGTCATGTCTGTCACAGCAGTACCCCTGACCTTGTACCAAATTCTGTCTTACTTAGTGTTTCTATTACTGTGGTTATAACCAAAGCAACATGAAGAGAAAGGATTGTCTCATCTTATAGTTTGTCCATCATTCAGGGAAGTCAGGGCAGGAGCCTGGAGTCGGGGGCTGATTAAGAAACCATGGAAGAGTGCTGCCTGTTGACTTGCTGCCAGTAATTTGCTCAACCTGCTTGCTTATAGCATGAAGGACAAGAAAATACACCACAGATTTGCCCACAGGCCAGTCAGGTGGGGGTATTTTCTCGATTGAGGTCCCCTCTTCCAAAACGACTCTAACTTTTGTAAGGTTGACATTAAAAACTAGCCAACACAGTTGGTTACTGTTAACTGAAAGAAATCCTGTGCCTTGGAGAGCCAGGGATCAGGTGAATGGTTCCCCAAAGGAATCCCCAGCTGCCAGGACATCCTAGTTTTCTGTGGGCAGGGTGGGTTCTCTGTCCTGTGTCAATGCTTAGGACAAGAGCTCCTGTCTTTATCTCATGGCTTGCTAGCAACAAGAAGACAAGGATACCTTTGTGGGGTGAAATGTGTACCATGCAGTCCATATCTGGGAAGGTGCTGGCAACATCTGTAGCCTCTCTGGCCCATGTAACACACACTGTCCTCTTTAGATCCGGCCACACATCGCGACGCTTCGAAAGTACACCTACGGCAAGCACATCCTGGCCAAGCTGGAGAAGTACTACATGAAGAATGGGGTGGACTTGGGGCCCATATGTGGCCCCCCTAATGGTATCATCTGAGCAGTGCACCCATCCCCGTCCCGCTGACCTCACTGACCCTGGCAGATACAACCAGCAACCAGAAATGCCCAGCGTAGAGTCAGAAGTGGGCAACGGTTGCTCTGGGATTACTCCCTCCTCCAAAAAGGAATCAGATCCATTCGTGGAAAGGCCTTTGTAAATTTCATTTTATTACACATAACATGTACTAATTATTTTTTTTAATTGACTAATTGCCCTGCTGTTTACTGATGTATAGGAACTTGTACATAGGTAATCAGTGTACATGGGAGGCCACATGTTTTGTTTTATGTTGTATCTATATTCCACATGTGGACACTTTCAGGGTGGTTGGTTTAACAAAAAAGTTAAAAAAAAAAGACAAAAAAAGGTTTTTAACTCATTTGCCTTATGGCAAGTTTTGCAAATAGCTCTTCCCGACCTCCTCATTTTATTAAAAAACAAAAACAAAACTGAGAAATTTGAATTTTAGTTAAATGACTCCAAACTGGCATTTAACACTGTTTATAAAATATATATATATATACATATATACATATATGAAATGGGAACGTTTCAGAGTCGTTAAAGCATCAGCCTGTGACACAGAGTTCGTGACACTCTTTTTGGAGAAGACCTCATGCTGAGGAAAGTGGTGGCCACAGATCCAGGTGGAGAAGGAGTCACAGAGACCCAAGGCCAGTGGTCGGGGCCGTGGGGTTGCTTTCTGTGAACACTGAGAAGCAGAATCTGATTATCTAGCATGAGTGCAAACCCAGCTCTGCTCCTGGTCTTGCTTCTATAGATACATAGTGTATACTTGTAGACTTTTGCATATATACGGATTTGTAGTATTTCCTGTTTTGATGTCTAATCTGTATCTATAATGTACCCTAGTTAGTCGGACATACTTTTGATTGTACAATTGTACATTTGTATACCTGTAATGTAAATGTGGAGAAGTTTGAATCAACATGAACACGTTTTTTGGTAAGAAAAGAGAATCAACGCCCCTCCCCCCATGCACTCAGTGTATATCCACCTTTTATGGTCGTAGCTGATAGTGTTGTATATTGTAAATTGTAATTTCAACCAGAAGTAAATTTTTTTCTTTTGAAAGAATAAATGTTCTTTATACAGCCTAGTTAATGTTTAAAAAGAAAAAAAATAGCTTGGTTTATTTGTCAGCTAGTCAAGATGGTAGCGAGAGCCTTTCTAAATATTACTTCAGACGATTCAGTTCACACTAGTGTTTTTTTTTCCTAAAAAATGTTTTGCTTATTTTGTGACAGTCAAGAAAGGACGTGCAGAAGTTTCGCCTGCCCTTCCCCGCTCAGCGCCTCCCTTGTAAAGTGACTCGCCCTCCGTTTTGTACAGATGAGCTGTATTTTGCATTTTGTCTACTTGTAAGTGAATGTAACATACTGTCAATCCTCGTTTGAATATAGACTGTAACACTACACGGTGTACATTTCCAGAGCCTTGTGTATATTTCCAATGAACTTTTTGCAAGCACACTTGTAACCATATGTGTATAATTAACAAACCTGTGTATGCTTATGCCTGGGCAACTATTTTTTGTAACTCTTGTGTAGATTGTCTCTAAACAATGTGTGATCTTTATTTTGAAAAAAATACAGAACTTTGGAATCTGAATTTGGTATTTGTGCTGTTCTCACGCTCCACACCTGCTCATGGGAGCCCTGCTCCAGCCTGGCCTCACTGTTGCCCCTAGAGCGGATAGGAAGGGTGGAGTGGTAAGCTGGGGTTGGAACTGATGGCTCCTGAGCCTGACTTGATCTGAGAGGTTGAGTTCAGTCTGCTTTGTGCAAAGCCTGGCTTTCCCATGTCGTGAGACACATGCGCAAGTGCACCTGGTCAGCCAGGCAGTGGTGGCACACACCTTTAATCCCAGCACTCTTGAGGCAGAGGTAGGCAGATCTCTGAGCTCAGTGCCAGCCTGGTCTACAAGACCTAGTTCTAGGACAGGCTCCAAAACAACACAGAGAAACCCTGTCTTGAAACCCCCCCCCCCCAAAAAAAAGTGCACCTGGTCACCCCAGAAGGGGAACCCATCGCACGCAGACAAAAGTAACAATTGGCACCAGAATCCAACTTGGTCAAGCAGTGAATTTTTATTGTGGGGTTACTCATGAGAGCCGGATGTCTTGAACACAGCTGCATCATCACAAAGCAAGCTCCTCTACCCCAAATGCTGCAGCCCTGAGGATAGGGGACGCTGGGGAGGTGCCTTCTCAGATCTTCAGTGTTTCCTTTCCTGGATTTAACCTTTTGCTCCTGAGACTCTTGAGCTTCTGCTCTCCCCTGGAGGAACTGTTTCAGTTAAGAGGAAACCGCGAGGTAGGGCTGGTGACTTTAATCCCAGCAGAGGGAAGCAGATCTCTGAGTTAGAGGCTAGCCTGGTCTACAACGTGAGTTCCAGGACAGCCAGGGCTACACAGAGAAACCCTGTCTTTAAAAACCAAAAGGTAAAGGGAGAGAAGGAAGGAAAGAGAAACCTGCCATCAGTCCCCAGCTGACTTGGAAATCCTCTGCTATTGGTCTCCTGGGCCCTTCTCTGCAAGCCTGTGTCTTGGCCATCCTACAGGATCCTCTTCAGTTTGGGCCTTGAAAAGTATGTCTATTTTCTGAGACTGGATTGTGGCCAGTATCCTGCTCCAGTTACCCTCAAATTGAGAACCCCTTTGGGTTCACAGAAGTAGTGCCTATCTTCAGTGTGCCCATCCTTTCACCCAGCTGTTCTTCAGCTCAGAAGGCCACACCACGTCTGAAATTTCACCTGGTCCCCTCCTACATGTAGAGAGGCCAGTGAGCCTTGGGCCGGAAATGGAGGCCTACTCTTTGTAGTTGAAGGCCTCATTCTGCTTGGACAGCTGGAGTTAGGCCACACCCAGCCTTGCCTGCCACTAAGGTGGTTTCCCAGAGCAGGTATGTGCTGAGGGTTTGTGAACCCCTTCTGGGAGAGGTGGGCAGTGCCTGGGGCCTGTGTTGAAGGCAGCTCAAGGTTCTTGTTGCCCTCCTAGCCTCTTTACATTTTCTTGTGTTTGCTTGGTTTAGGCTCTTCCTTTAGCATCTCAGTGGAAAATGCATGTGGGAGCTTGCTGGAAATGGGACGGCCCCTAATATGAGGCCTTGTATGTTTGAGGAGTCTTTAGAGTGAGGGTGAAATGCAGTGTTTAATCCTTGAATGCCCCTGATACCAAAATCGCTGTAAAAGGGGAAACTATATGAGTATTAATAAACTCTTCAAAAGCAGTTGTGTAGCTGGAGATTATGTAGCTGAATAGTGCCCAGCGTATCTTGTAGCAAACATTAGCTGCATTTCCCCTATTCAATACCATGTGAACTGAGACTGTGCAGAGCCTGTCCCTTTCCTTCCCCACCCACTCAGTGACTATACACAGAGCATGCATGGACTCATGGCTAAGACTCAGCTAAGAGGCTGAGGCCAGAGAATACAGAGTTTGAGTTTAGACTACAGTAACAAGATTGTCTCAAACAGAAAAACAAAACCAACTGAGCAGGTGCACAATCCCAGCACTTGGCAGGTGGAAAGGTCTTCTTGGCTACGTGGTGAGCCAAAGGCCAGAGTTGTGATTAGGGAGACTTGGTTCGTGAGCGGCTGCACAGATATGGAGGTCAGAGGACAACCTTTGCTTGTCCATCCTTACAGCCTTGTTTGAGGCAGGTTTCATTTCACCTGCGAGCCAGCGAGTAAGCAAGCTTCTTGTAACTGACTCGCCACAGGACAGGTGTACAGGATCACTGCTTCTGGCTTTCCATGGGCCCTGGGGATTCTAACGCAAATCCTCACAGTAGCATGACAAGCTCTTTGTCTACTGAGCAGTCTCTCCAGCCTGAGACTGGTCTTCAGCAACCAAAAACTGTTACTCAGCAAAGAAGTCTATCCAATGTATCTCATTGAACATCAATTCTGCTGGCCACAGAAGGTAGTTTTGGTGTGCCCATTTCAGGTGTGAAAGCTGAGGTCCCACGTTTTGACCTGACACTCAGCCCACTGCGTGAAAGCCTCTCTGCTGGACTGTTTGAGGGAGCAGGCTGTGTCCACCTCTCATCCTTGGGACAAGCAGGAGGAAGGGAGTGTAGATGTTCCAGCAGAAGAGAAGAGATGGAGTTCATGTGCATTAATAACCAACCAGGCTTTTATCAGGGTCTTCTGACTCCCTGGATCCAGTGCTCTGCCATCGCTTGTATGGCCTAGCAGTTGCTGTCTTTTAGAGCCACAGAAGGGCCAGTGAAATGGCTCAGTGCTGGTCAAGGTGCTTGCTATACTAAACCTGATGACTTGTTTTGATTGCCAGGACCTACATGGTAGAAGGAAGAGAGCTGAGTCCCTTGAGTTGACTCCGACATGTACACTGTGGAACAAGCATGCCCCCCACATGTATGTACACTAACACACACAAATAACATGTAAAAACGAATTACCTAAAAAACAAAAACCCAAATTACCAGAGCTGGAGTGGTGTGCATTCTACTCTTCCAGAGGACCCGAGTTTAGTCTTTAGCACCTAGTTGAGGCTCATTTCTGCCTGTAACTCCAGCTCAGTGGGATCTGAAGCCTCCATGGAACCCGGTGTACACACAAAATTGAAGAGATGGCAAAAACCCAAAAGAGTTGCAGAGAAGAATTCATCCATGAAGTCAAAAGAACCTGTGACTAATGGTGGTTATCAGCTTTGGCCACATGAGGGCGCAGCCGCCTAAAGCGCGCACTACGGTCTCCAGGACGCCAAGATTCAAGGTCTGGCTTTCAGGACCAGAAAGCAGAGTGAGGTTTGTTTCTTCTTCACTCCTCCCCAGGAATCCGCAGTGTCCCCCACCGCCAGACCTTCACTGCCTGGGGTGGGAACCGAAGCTCACATCTGGAACAGATCCAGTTGTTTTGGTTTGCTCTAAGACCCCTGTGGAGCCTTCTTGGGATCTCCATTTCCCCATTTGTCACCTGCTGAAGTCAGTCAGTGATAGGGCCTGAGAAGAGCAGGCCCAGGCTCAAGGTAGCCACTGGTGGTCTAGGTCCAAGCTCTCAAACAGCCGGAACCTCTCAAAAAGCCCGAGTGTTTGCATAAGCGGCAGCTTTAAATCCCAGCCCCCGGGGTCTCTGCACAGCTGTGTAAGCCATTCTCCTCCTCCAGCAGGAGTGGGAGGGCATGTGATAGCCCCTGACCCAGAGCTGGGCACAGAGCTGGACGTGAGTACTGCCTTTCATTCCCGAGTCTTTGCTAGGATGGCTAACACATCTCCCAACCTGGGACACCAAAGTGAAAAAGTGCACCTCTGCTAAGTGCCTCACTGGGGCCCCAAGGGTCCTCCTGCCTGATAGTGGACTCGCTCCTAGAATTGCAGCCCACAGCAGAACAGCAGGGAAGGGTGATTTGACTTTTGAAGTTTGGATTCCTGTGGAAATTGCATCTGATACTCTGTGGGCAGAATCTTGACGCCCGGGAAAGACTCTGCCCTATGGGTAAGGCACCCACTCCAGCTGTCCGCTCCCTAACCCCCAGAGGTAGGTACCTCGGCCTGTCAATTTCAGGCAGAGTGGCATCCAAACAATTGGCAGCTGACTGTGGTGGTGGTCAGATCCACCGCTGTGCCATCCTTGAGTTCTGAATTTCAGGACCTAGCCCCAGGCCTGCCCTGTGTTTCCAGCTCTCTCTGCCAGCTCCCATCTAGGCAAGGGGGACACAAGTCCCCTGGGGACACTTGAAGGCAGCTACAAGATATTGCCCCTCTGTGTCCCTCCAGGACGGCTCTCCATGGCAGATTTCTGCCTCACCCAGAGCTGTGGCTCAACAGTGGTGGGGTTCGATGACAGGATCACAGGACCCCAAATCTAGGCTGTGTTAATTCCTAACAACTGTGCTGGAAGAGCATGGCCCAGTCTGGGGGAGTCAGCACCCCTAGCCCTCGGCTGTTAAGCTGGGCTGAGGAGGAACAGTGTATTTAGGAAGTTCTTTTTTTTTCCCCCTTCCATGAAAATGACTTTAAATGTGCAGTTTATTCCCAGAAACTTGGGTGTACTCTAGTGAGACCTCTGGGGTGATGTCCTTCCTTCCTCCTTCCTTCTCCCCCACTTCCTCTTTTTCCTTCTTCTCCCTCTCTCCTCCCTTGCCCCCATCTCCTGCCTTTTCTCTCTCCCTACTGTCTTAGCCTCACCACTCTCCTCCTCTTCCCCCCCCCAGTTACCTTCTCTCCTTCCTCAGAGTCCTTGGGTCCCCCAAGGCAGGAAGGAGGACAGGTGTGAGCCCAGGTGAGTCTAGGTCTAGGTTCCCCACAGCCTTCCTATGACTTCAGTCAGGGTCTTGGGCAGAGGTGACCATGAGACGTGGACAAGGCCACCAGATAGTCTGGGAGGAGCCCCCAGGGTGAGGAGTGAGCCATCCTGTTCCCAGCTCTTAGAGGCTGTGTGGCATTGTACCTGTAACCTCACTTCATGTTCCTTTCCTTAGTGTGAAATGACATAGAGAAATTTCAAGGCCAGCCGCTTTCTTCAGTGTGGACAGGACAGTTGCCATCAGGAAACAGAGCTGCGATGGCCACAGAACACCTTCGGGAGATGGGGCCTGGCCTTGAGTTAATATAAAATGGAAGCAATACCATGGAGTGAGTGGGGC